ATGCAATTATTTTTATTTTTTTTCTTCATAATATCACACTACTTTTCTCACGCAGTATAAATGAGTGTATATATATATATATATATATATATAGCTGCTTTGTTTTAATGGGGCGCCTTGGCAATGGGAATTTTCATATTTGGGGGTCCTTCACAACAAAAAGTTTGAAAACCTGTTATTTAGATATAACTGTGCCAGGAAAGCATACAGTGGGTATAGAAAAGAATCACCCCCCTTTAAAATAATCACATTTTGTTGCTTTGCAGCCTGAAATGAAGTCTAATAATAGACTTCACTGTGCTTCTAGTCATTTTTAGGAGGGGGGTGATCCTTTTTCCAACTCAGTGATTCTGTTTTTTTATTTTTTACATTTTTTTTCTGACATGTTGGTGTTCTATCTTTCACTTGGATGTTATAAGTTGCACTGAGTAAATACAGCTGGATAAAACAAAAACTGAGTCTGTCTTCATTTCAGGCTGCAAAGCAACAAAATATGATTATTTTAAAGGGAGGGGGGATTCTTTTCTATACCCACTGTAAATATAACAGTTATTATATATTGGTTCTGCATACCTGCATAATTCAGTTCTTACACTAGAAAGTAAATATATATGTATATCTTATTTTTAATACAGCATCAGTCGCATTTATTACAGCATATGTAGCACTGCCATAGTTTTTAACTTTACAGTTTCTTCCTAAGAGACATGCTTTTAAAGCATAGCCACTGTAACTCAATTGAGATGACGACATGATGGAACACAATGTTTCTTGCTTTCATGGATTCGAACAGCTTTATCTGTTACAGCCTCCATTCCAATTGTCCCTCTGTCTGGATAACTCGAGTGTTTGAACTCTGCTCTCCTCCGCTGAACCAAACATGTGGGCAATAATGTGAATGCCAAAGTTTATGTGCTTTCAAAAAAGTCGCCAGGTTTGGTTGAAAACGAAGAGTGGGCGAGCTGTTCGAGTATGTCGGTTAGGCTGGCGGGGATGGCAAGCTTTTCCGTAATGACATGGTTTGTCTTTTTGCGTTATGAAGGATGGGGAAGTAGAGCAGCATCAGGACAGCTAATACACAGCATACAGTCTGGACCCAGATATTTATATATCTGTTGAAAATAGAGAGCGAGAAAGAAGTGCACAGCGACTGAAAGATACACACCCATTGGTTAATTACACTTTGGGTTCTTTCTCCATGGAGTTAACCTCAGCTGAGTAAAAACATACTCGAATTTAAAGTCTCTGGATGCATTGAAGCTTAGCTCATCATGAGAAACTTGCAGAAACAAAGTTTTGGATAGAACGCACAGTTCAACAACAGTCTAACATCCTGTCTTGATGGACAGTGACCCGCAGTGCAGTGGTGTCATTGGTGGTTTATTGAGGAAATGAATGAAATGGAAGATGGCAAAACTACAGTGGCATCAAGAGAGGAGTAAGAGTGGAACCTCCTGTTCTGTGGCTTGATCTGCTTAAAGCTTTGTGATGAGTCAAGAGAAGCAATGTGGAGTAGATTCTACTCTACTTGAAGATTTTACAATGATACACATTGTTTGTGAGCATCTAAACAGAAACATGATGAAGAATATGCTGTTACACAAGCCACAGAGGGGAGAGTCCACCTTCTCAACTCTCTTGGACTACGACAGACCTTCCCCAAGAAGAAAATGACGTTACCTGCATCCACGTCAGCTAGTTAAAGAAGCCGAGGAAAGAGAGAATAAACAAAACTCAAATCAAAAAGCAGCCAAGCTAAACATGCACAGTCAGTTAAGAAATTAAACACAGCAGGACAAAGAGAGAGAGACTGAGAGAGAGAAAGAAGCAACTTTCATTCATTCTATTGTCACAGGGCTTCTGTGCCTGTGGGTCCTGAGTACTGTATGTTGCATCTGAACAGACAGATCAAAAACGTCTGCCCTGAGGACATGGTCAGGTCAATACAGCTGATTTACAATACAGTCATGAGAGGACTATCACACACGCTCATATAATGCAGGCCAGCTGAGTATTGATGTCAGTGAAGTAACACTCATGTATTGGCCGAATATTAATTAATTAAAAAATACATTAAATTTTTGAAATAAATAAATCCTATACTAAAATACATTAAATTGCCATTTAAACATAACATGTCTTGAATACACCTCTTCTATGATGAGCATGTTTTTTTTGGTTGTTGTTAATTATAATTCGTTTTATTTGTTCTAGGTCAAGTACATTTTAGAATAATACACTATAATAAAAAAAGTTAATTAAAAATAATAATATTATTAATAATCAATAATAATAATAATTATAATTCTTGAATAAAAACATTAGTAGTTTGGCAAAATCTTTTATTTATTTAAATATTTTATTTTATTTATTTATTTATTAATTTTTTGGAGAAAAGTGAAGCTGTTTTGTTAAAATATTATTAATAATTGAAAAAATACTTTTGTGCGCCAAATCAAAGTCATGTGGTGTGTAGCGACACATTAAAGATGTAATGGAAATGTATTATTACTTTTTACTTGATGTTTACACCACATGACATTTATTAGCTAATTAAATTTAAACCCAAGTTAAAATATTTAAACAGTGTACATTTTTAAACCATATAAAAGATTTCTAAGAACTTTGAACTTTTTACGGTTTGCAAATCTAGATTTTACTTGGAAAAGATTCAAAGTCTAAATTTGATATTTCACTTTGATAAAAGTGTTATTTTTCACACCAGAGGGGCTGGTCTGCACAATTGCACCAAACTGCTGATCCCAGCAGAGCTGCATTTCTACATCAAACATGATTGTGGCGGCTTAAGCAAAAGAAAACATTTTATTTACCCATATGGGGTGCTGGGTTTTGAAATGGTAAAGGCTGGGTCTGGATTGAGACCACAGGGCCTGCAGGGATTTTTCTTTCTTCTTGCGTAAACATACACACGCAGTCACACAGTTGGCCTTGTGATAATATCTCTTAATGAGCTCTGAGAATGTGTCTATTTATGTAGTATGTGTGATAGAAGAGGGGGGCGGTGCAAAACCCATGCGGCCGACTGCTTTCATTGCAGAGTGTGCAGTAAAAATCTGCTCCAGCTCTACTTAGTGGTTTTGAGGTTGGGGTTACTCTACCAAAGCTAGGGAACACTATTTTTAAACCCAGAATAGTGAAACTTCAAAAAAGTAAAGTAGGAAAACTTTGCATGCGGTAGTTTTACTGGAATGTAAATTTGGAAATTCAAATCAGCTTTCTGATGCTGAAATGTGACATAACGTCACTGCAAATCTGAGTTTAACGGCACTTCTAACATCAGATGACGTGCTGGCCTCAAACGTGAAAGATTTAACCGTGTTGCTCAAGCTTAGCAAGGCACACACTTCAACGGTCTCTGATGTCGTGCTAAATTTCCTTTGGCAATCTGTGCTATAATCCACTGCGGCAAACAGGCAATTGACATTTCTGGGGGATTTTTTTCTTCCAGGGCGATTTCCTGGTTGACCGCTGGTATGCAGTGGCTTGAGTTTTATATGGTAAAGTGCAAAGGAGAGGACGAGACATGATTAGTGCCCGTTGGCCCGCTAACTGCCCTCTTCTGTGACCTCTTGATCTCTACGGGACCCCCAGGCATGCAGATTACCGCAGTTAAACACAATTGTACTAAATGTTGCTTAAGCTAATTGCGATCTTTAAAGAAAAGCCCTGATTTTTAAATTAATACCTAAACTTTATAAACCCTGCTCCTTGAGGGAGCCATTTGAAAGGCCAGTTTAACATGTCTACATAATAACAGTTATAAAGGACATGAAATATTGACACGGGGAGCTTTTGAAAGCACATTCACGAGAACATATTGTGGTGGTCTGGCGGTGTGCCTTGAATGTTCTCAATTATACATGGGGAGTATAGCAGAGTCCTCTGGCACAACTGTACCATACTAACATACTAACAGCAGGTGTGCGGAGAGAGAGAATAAGAGAAGGAGAGAGCTGAAATAAAAAATAAGAAGTGCATCTAAGGCTATGCCTCGGCAGTACTGAAAAGAGAGGAATATTAACTATTTACACATAACTTCAAGACTTAAACGGGATTCTAAGAACAGAAGGACATACATACACCATTGTAAAAGCTCTTTCAAAAGCACTGAAGTGAGTAATACAAACTGTTAATAATATTGCACAAGATAAAAACAGTGAGAGATATATCAAAGGGTTTTAAAGGGTCTCCATATTTCACCTGCCCATTTGATAGCAAAACACCTACCTTCAGGACTCTCTTCCTGCACATACGTCCCTGTCAGATACCTGTGCACCAGGGCAGACTTTCCACTGGCCAAGTTACCCACAATGCCCTGCACATACACACAGAATTATTAGGGGTCCCGTTCATGATATTTTGGCATGTAAATAAACAGTGTCTCAGCCTAGACCTGAAGCAATCCCTAATAACCATGCTGCCACGTGAGGATTCCAGATGATTGTGGAACTAAACATGATTAACATGATATTATAACCTTTGCTGAGTACTGAGTACCATCAGTACAGTAAAACAGTGTCTTTTTAACTTTGGGTATTTTTAAGTCCCAGGGTTTGATTTTTATTAAAACTAAGTGTTTTTTTTTTTTTGTACATGAAGATCAAATTAAAATGATCATCCCTTGTTATCATCCCTTCTTAATCATGTTATTGATTTTTCCTTGTCATTGAACATCATTCGATATTATAAAAGAACTATGAAATAGACCTGGCCGATAAAACGGTATCGATATTTATCGACGGTACACCATCATCGATAACGATAGAAAAAAAATTTTTTTTCTTTAAAGGCGCGTTATGAGTGACAGAGAGCCAAAAGAACACACAAACACACGCTGAAATGAGTGCCGTGCCTGCGTGCGATGAGGAGGAATATTAGTCAAATTTAAAATAAAAATTCGCATTCGAATGAAAAAACGGTATATTTGAATTTTAGGTGTGCATCAGGGAGCCTTATCAGCGGCGCACGAGATGCGGTGAGGATTATGTTGTTGCATTTTAATGTTTTTGTTTCTATATCCAGTTGAAACCACAAGATGCGCCGCTGCTGCATTTTCCATTCAAAATATTAGAGAAAATATAGAAGCTCAATGCGGAGAAGATATTGGTTAGGTTAAAACCGAAACCAAGCCATTCACCCAGAACGCATATTCGGCACATTCTTGAGACGCACAACTATGACTGTTGCACTCGCGTCTCGCACAAGAGATGAATAGAAAGCCATGTAAAGTTAAAAGAGGTTCAACTTTTAGAAAACATGTCTCGAGAATTTGTGGGAGTTTTATTCCATTCCACTGCATCTCATGTGTTTTTAAATGCAATCGTGTGATCGGCGCTTTGGCTATTTGTATTGAGCTATGCATAAATACATGAAGCTGTTTTGTTCATTATTGTTTATGCAATTTACGAAATCATATTTTATTTATAAATATTAGTTTAGACGTTATGTAATTTTTTATAGACAGCCGTTATTTTCATTGCATTGAATAAACCGTTTAATGAGGTGCATTATTTTGCTCATTGCGCCCTCCTGTGGCCTCAGGAGATGGGCCAAAAGTTTCCTTAACACTTATTCAATCTGCACATAAAATATAAGAAAGGAGATATTTGTTTCAATTTTATTTTGTTATTTTGTTTTATTTATTTTGTTTATTAAGACTAAAATAAGTTGTTGTTTGTCTTAATAAATTGGGTAAATTAAAAATACCGTGGTTACATTTAAACCTTTTTTTCTACTGCTCTCTGTTTAAGAAAGGTTATGAGAAATTTTCAATGATTATTCAAGTTCATTATACAAGTTCAAAAAAGGAGCAAAATTCAAAATTGCTAAAAATCTTGACGCATAGAAATTTACATTTTGGTATGCATTTGACTCGGCATGAGCCAAGGAATCGGTTCAAAGTTATTAGCAGAAATATGAGTGTAAATTTGGCCTATTGGTGGCACTAGAGAGTTTGAGATTTGAGACTCCAAATTTGTTACGTTTTAATATGGAGACTGTCCTCTATCTGTGTGCCAAATTTGGAGTGGATGAGGAGGAGGAGGAGGAGGAGGAGGAAGAGGAAGAAGAAGAAGAAGAAAAAGAAGAAACCTAACGGATACAATAGGATCCATAAGGTCTAGAAGCAAAACCGTAAGGTCTAGAAGCAAAATAATTTTTCCTCTGATTCCATGGCTCATGCCGAGTCAAATGCATACCAAAAATTGACATTTCCAGGGGTCAAAAAAAAAAAAACTACTTTTTTGAACCTGTCCTAGGCAGTTTGCCTGATTTTCACCAAAATTGGCTCAGATCATCCTCAGACAATGCTGGCAAAAGGTTATCAAAAGATTTCCGATGTTGAAGAAATTCACACAAAAATGGACTTGAGGCTATATCTTCGCAAAACTTTAGCAGATTCTGACCAAACCCTAAATATTGTTTAATTTTCTTTATTTTGGATTAAACAAATTCTATCTATGCATTAATATGCGTTGGCATGACAAGTCAGTCATTTAATTTTAAAACTGGTACAATGTCATTTTCACATGCAATTATTTCATCACAAAAAGCCATCAAACAAGAAATAATTTGCGATGGAGGAAATTACACTGTAATGACATTTGTGATGCATATATATATCTTTATGGATATTATTAGTGGACCAACAAATAAAGCAGTGAGAGTGTAAAGAGTCTAAGAGTTTATTTTCTAATTTCAAATTAACTTTCCAGGCCAAGAAACACAGAATTCAGCGTATTCAGGCCAATTTAGAGAGGGTACGACCTGATCAAAGCTGTTTTGTGGTGAGGTCACGAGCATGCAACACTAATTTAAGCAATAAAATGATGCAAATGAAATCGTGTATTAGTTATGATGAAAATGGCAAATTTTAAACATCAGTGATTGGACTCACCACTTTGAGCTCTGGTACAGAGCGACTGAGCGTCCACTCCTGACTGTTGACAAAGGCATCTGTAACAGAGACAGAGAGAGATCATTGTAAATGTGGCCACGCCCTTCAGTTCAGTCTTATTTACAGAACAGTTCTAGATGAGCAACTCAATGATCAATACAAACGGCAGAGGAAAAGACACAGCCAAACAGACCAAAACGGAACAAAACCATTTCCATTCACACTTATCCAAACCGAACATACTACTCCACAACTACACTACAGAACAAAACATGTTTATGTTAATTTTAGGTCTTTTCAGCAGAGTGAATGATCAAATAGGCCTATGTGTTAATTAGAGCCCACTGTGCCTGCACGGCCCCCACACTCAGCTGCACAACACGTTTCACATCACAATAGAACAATAGTGGATGCAGGTGCACTATGGGCTCAAACGCTCAGAGGAAATCTAAGAGACCAGCAAATAATTCTGCAAATCCATGACTCAAAAAAAGTTAAGTTTATATATGGCGAGAGTCAGGTCATGCTGTATTATTAAAGAAAATGCCCATGACGATCAATGCTACTTAAAATGCTAGTTAACAATAGAGCATGCTGTTAGCAATACCAAAGTCATGGGTTCGATTCCCAGGGATTGAACGAACAAATAAAATGTTTATATTGAATGCAATGTAAGTCACTTTGAATAAAAGCACCTGCCAAATACACAAATGTAGTGAGCTGCTGCCTTCCTACAAAGAATGGTGTCTTCTAAAGACTGGAATACACAACATGAACCGATTATAAAACACTAGGCATCATACACTTGCAGACTTTATATATGGTTACAGCAGAAAAAGTTGTAAATAAAAGACTGAAAATCACACACTACCAGATATTTAAGTCACTCCAAACACAACAAACTCTTGCAATAACATGCACATCATTGCTAAGAGATGCATGACAAATGAAAATGTGTTCTAATATCAACTCCAAAAAAAAATTAATAATAAATTGTCTTTCAGCAACTACCGATGACACCTCCAGCCTTAATCTTAAATGAAATGGAACCTCATTTATAACTAATTTGGACAATGTTCATATGCTGCAACTCTGAGCGCAACACAAACAGCCCTCCAAAAAACTGTATTATATGAGGAAGCCTAATTTTAAGTGAAATTTCCAGACCTGAAAAAGTAATGTAAATTAATACCAATATAATCTTAAATATTAGCTCTAAAGTATTTTATTGGATAAGAATTATAAAAATATATATCCTTATCTTTAATCCTTATCCAGAAAGTCACAACGATTGGAAAAGTCATGTCAATTTCTATTTGGAGTCAAAAAGGTTTTAAGTAGAGTGTGACGTTAGCGTGCTGCTTTGCTATCGTAGTGATTAATTAGCATAAAAATAGATATCACACACAATCAGCATAAAGCATCTAATTAGCATAAAAACACACTGTATACACAAATATTGTGTAAAATATTCTAAAATAGGCTGCATTATATCAAAACATTTAGGTAGGCCTATTCAATGAAATAAGCATATTTACAAATCAATATTTGTCTAACCCCATTCACCATATTGTCTGATTTGCCTTGTCCACACATTAAGAGTGTGCATGTGATGTCTTAAAATGTTGTCTAGGTAGACATTTTGGGGCATTGCTTTATTATTTGTTGAGTTTATCACTGTACACAAAGCAATGGATGCTTTGCTTCCATCATCTGCTCACTGTTGTCAGATAACAACAGTCTATAATTTCTCAAGGGACCCATACTAAACACAGACTAATGCTAAGATATATGTATAACCCTTGGGGATTGACACTTTTTGAAAGGCTATCAGAAGAATAGAAGGGGTGGGGGGGGTTGCTACATATATTCCACTGGGTAACCCTGAAAAGGCCACAGCGTCTGAAATCTGAGGAAGGTTAACACAATCTGTTACCCACACAGAAAGCATATATGAAAACCTACTGGGTATCAGTGTTAATTTTGACAGCACATTTTGATTTAGTTTTAGTCATATTTTAGTCATCTGAATTGTTTTTAGTTTTAGTCTAGTTTTAGTCGACTAAATATCATAAGATTTTAGTCGACTAAATCTACAGTAAATTTAGTCGGCTAAAATCTAATGGGTTTAGTTACAGTGCATTTATTAAGCATTTCTCTAAAATTTCCAAACTCATTATATAGGTTTGATATTAAGGTTTTATCATGATAGACACCGATTTAACTGCGGTGACACACAACATGCCTTTATGTTAAAATTAAATAAAACCACTTCTCATAAAGAACAAGAACATGGTCTTCATTTTAATGAAATACCAAATGGTTATATAGGCTACTTATGCATTCTTTATAGCAACTTGTTTACCGTATTCTTCATTATTTCAAGCAGACATCTTTATTTCTATAAATAAATTTAGATTAATCTTTAGGGCTACTAATGTTTTTCAGTCAAGAGCAGTGCGTGATTTTCTGTCTTTCTTTTGTTGCTTGATAAACATCAATGACTCGGACAATAGCAACTAAATTAGGCTGCTGTCCCTTTAAAACCGAATGCACAGCTGCAATGGATGCAATGTACTGATACACGTTCTCCCTACTGTTTACGTTCACTTAAGACATAATCAAATATTGACATTTTTGAATGTTTTATGCGACGTGCAGCAAGTGTATGTTAGCTTATGTCCCGCCGGTTCATATGTACGCATCTAACCTCCGAACCACGCAGCAGATTCGTTCTGAATGAATCTCTTCCCAAATCGTCCCTGCCTAACATTTTCGTCTCGTTTTTATTCGTTGACGAAAATGTCAATAGATTTACGTCATAGTTTTTGTCATTCAAAAAGAGTTTTAGTTCGTTATCATCTCGTTGTCGTCTGTGAAAAAAATGTCGTTGACGAAAATTAGGACGAAAATTATTAGTCAACGAAATTAACACTGATGGGTATTAAAGGAAAAATAAGGATTGATTGCACAATTGATGCTGTAATCACATATAAATCGTATTGTTTGGAGAAATCAGACTTATTTGAGAACTTTGATCTCCTTCCTCTATTGGGCGTTCCATGCACAGATGCAATCAATCAACACAGCGCTATGACAGCTGTCTGTGATACTGCGACTCATTCAAAATGACAGTCTGTAACATCACAGGAGACATGATAAGAGTAACAGACTGGTAATGAACCATTACAGCCAAAGCCCTTGTCAGTCTTATCTTATCTCTTCAATTGAAATAGACTTGCTGGATTATTTTTCATTATGGAAGTCAATAGCATGGTTGATTATAAAACTCATTGCAGCCTTGATAAAAACAGTAATAACAGACATTGCAAGAGCTTTAGTCTGACCTTACTATTATACTTAACAGCGTTTCCCCTGCCATTATTTTAGGGGGGCGGCCCGCCCCCCCAACGGCACCCCCCGCCCCCCTTGAAAGTCAAGTTAATTTTATTTAATTATATTTTCTCTATAGCGCCAGATCACAACAGAAGTAATTTAAAGTTACCTTTCTTATAGAACATGTCTATACCTTGTTCTTTCATTAAGCAAACTAAATAGCCTTATGTTATTTATCTTATTTACAGGACGGCATGTCATTTCAGTCTCTACGTTATGGTCGCGCTCTCTGTATCACGCACAGCGGAGTTCCGCCCGATGCGCGCGCTCACGCACGCACACACACACACACACACACACACCCACTAGTATTTGTAAATATTAAGCCGCAAAACGA